ACACACACACACACACACACACACACACACACACACACACACACACACACATACACACACACACACATCTGTTTTACTTGTTTGTATCTTTTCTGCACTCTCTTTTGTTTTTCTAATTTGCTCTGGCTTTTGGCTCTGACCGCAATGAAATTCCGGCTCATAGCGAGAAGGTTACTCTGACAAATACGTTGTGGTCAGACAATGTCTTTTTTATTCTATTTATAACTTACGTGGGGTGAACATGTGAAGGAAAGGGGGAGGGAGAGAGAGTATTAGAGACAGAGAAAGAAAGAGAGACGGGGCAGGAAGATTGAGAGAGAGAGAGAGAGAGAGAGAGAGAGAGAGAGAGAGAGAGAGAGAGAGAGAGAAGGAGAGAGAGGGGGAGAGAAAGAGAGGTGGGTGGGCGGAGAGAGGACAGAAGGGTTACAACTTGCGGACTTCATCTTCCAAAGGCGCTCACACAAAGCTTATCTGAGGACACAAATCAGATTTGGAGACACGCATCAAATGCCCTAATCCCGTTTTCTTAGCGAGCCAAATTGGGTGACGTAATTTCACCAAAACATATTGGGGAAGGCAGACGCTTGCAAGACAGAAGAATGTGCTGGTTATGTCGGAGTTTTCTGCTTGTTGTGAGGTCTCAGTTCTCACCATATGCATTATAATGCTTTGAAACACACGCATTACAACGTATCGGTCCCAGAAAGAAAGAGCCGAAAGAAGTTTCTGGATGTTATTGTTTAAGCAAGTAATTTTCTTTTTCATAATCTTCCGTATTGTCTTCCTCCACCTCATCTCCTCCTCTTCCTCCTCTAAGTCCACCTCATTCTCCTTTTTCTTCCTCTTCTTCTTTTCTTTCTCTCCTCCTCCGTCTCCTTCTCCTCAATCATGCCTTCGCAGTCCTGATCATTTTAAGCCTTTTTATTCCAGCAGGACGCCCTCTCTTCCTGCGTTACATGCATCCTCAATTTGTGGACACCCCTCTGGTTCATTCCCGGCATTCCGTAAACCCTTCACACCATTACTAACTGGAGGGTTTGTTTGTCCTCCATCTCAACGTCCACTCTAGCTCCAATTCTCCCTGTCAATTATTTCCCACTTAGTCAGGCACAGGCTTGTTTCTTTAGGATTTTCGATTTTTATCTTCAAACAAATCAATTTTCTATTCACCTACATCCAGTGTAACCCATGTCTTACCCTCTTTTTCAATTGTAAAAAGAAGATATTATGTTTGTTTGCAAGCGTGATACAAATAGCCCTATCATCGAAAGTAGCACAAGTTACGTAATTCAAGAACATACCAGGTTTGATTATTTCCAAAAGCGAGATAATATGTTCCATCAAGAAAGAAATAGCATTATGCTCCCTCTCTCTCTCTCTCTCTCTCTCTCTCTCTCTCTCTCTTTCTCTCTCTATCTTTCTATCTATTTATCTCTCTCTCTGTCTCTCTCTGTCTCTCTCCCACATGCATCTCTTATACCCCACCCCTCTATCATTGTGCTGGGACGTGGTTTCCCTCTCGGCCTAGTTGGCCCTGACAGTGACAGGCAGAGTCAAAACCCGCCTCCTGGACATTTAAATTGTGTTGATAGCGGTGCAAAACAGCAACATGTGGACATTGAAAAGACAACGTTTACTTACTAATTGTAAAGCTTGATGTCTGGCGTCCAGATTTTGTGACACGGCACTCTGACGTCCTTCACTCCTCCGTATTCTTCCTCGTCCCACTTGATCTGATGATCGTCCCATGCCTGTTGGGAGTCAACATGGAGATATTATGCTCAAAATTGTACTGAAACAGTGGGAATCACCAACATAAGTACGCTCAAAACACTGCACGGGCGATATATTGTGACAATTGCGTCTACTGGGAGACAAAAAACGAACTTTTGTTTTTGTCGGTTTTGTTTTGCTTGGTTTCGGGGTTCTTGTTTTTTTTTTGTTCGTTTTGTTTTGTTTTGTTTTGGGGGTTTTCGGGGGGGGGAGAGGAGGGGGTATATGTTTTACGGCGCTCGCAACTGCATAAGGTCTATCATACAAGCGCGTGAAACGAACTCTAAGAAAACTTACATACGACTTTTAACGTGATATTGTCAACTTTTTTCCGATTTGAAAGATCGCACGGTAACTTCTAAAATATAAATGAGCTTGTGTCTCAAGCCGGGTGAATGCAAGGCATTTGATTAAGGCGTCATGAGTCTCGAGAATGTTACCTAAAAAATGTCACGTCCTCAAGACGAAAAGAATACAAACCACGTCAGAACCAGTTCGGTCCCTGGGCTCAAAGAGAGAAGTAAAAGACCTGAGGCCAAATCATAAGTGTTGGAATACAATTGGAGATCCAAATGGATTACAATATTTAAAACGCTTGATAGCTTTAAAAGACATCTTAAACATTTTCTGTTCCTAAAGGCCTCTCCTTCAAAAGCTTTTAACGTTATTTTTCATTATAGTTGTTCTGTTCCTATGTCT